CTCTTGCTCAGGCTGGTCTTTAACTCCTGACTTCAAGTGATCCTCCCACCTTAGCTTCCCAGAGTGCTAGGATTACAGGTGTGAACCACCATGCCTGGCCTAGCTTCAGGTTTTATATTTAGGTCTATGATCCATTTTGAGTAACTTTAAAAATATGGTGCAAGTTATGAATTGATGTTTTCTGGTTTGGGGTTTTCTTTTTACGTATGGTTATTCAATCATTCCAGTGCCATTTCTTGAAAACGTTATCTTTTCTATAATAAGTTGCCTTTACAACTTTTTGGAAAACCAATTGACCATATGTATGGCTCTATTTCTGTACTTTCTATTCTGTCCCATTGAACTATGTGTCAATTTTTTCTCTGATACTGTATTATGGACTAAATCCTAACCCCCAATGTGCTTGTATTAGGAGGTGGGAGCTCTGGAAGGCAATTAGGTGAGAAGGGTGGAGCCTTTATAAATGGGATTAGTGCCCTTATGAAAGGGACCCCAGACAGCTCTCTTGCCCTTTTCCCACTGTGTGAGGATACAAGGAGAAGATGGTAGTCAGCAATCTGGAAAAGGGCTCTCACCAGAACTCAGCCATGTTGACACCCTAATCTTGGACTTCCAGCCTCCAGCTGGCTTACCATACTGGCTTAATTACTATCTCTTTATAATGGTCTTAATCTCTTTGGGCTGCCATAATAAAATACCACAGATTGGGTAGCTTAAAAAAATAGAAATTTATTTTCTCCCAGTTCTGGAGGCTGGAGGTCTGAGATCAGGGTACCACCATAGTTGGGCTCTGGTGAGGGCTCTCTTCCTGGCTTGCGAATGGCCACCTTCTTTCTGCATCCTCACATGGCCTTACCTCTTTGCTTATGTGGGAGGAGGGAATCTCTTCCTCTTCTTATAAAGCCACTAATTCCATCACGAGGGTCCCACCCTCATACCATAATATAACTCTAATTACCTCCTAAAGGTTCCATCTCCAAATGCCGTTACATTGGGGGTTAGGGCTTCAACATATCAATTTGAGGGGGACACAAACATTCAGTCCATAACAGCCTTGAAATCAGGTAGTACAGTATTAATCTTCCAATTTTGTTCTTTTTCAAAGTTGTGTTGACAATGCTAATTCCTTTGACTTTCCATAATTTTATTTTAGTTTTTTAGAGACAGGGTCTCACTCTGTAGGCTGCAGGGCAGTGATGTGATCATAGCTTACTGTAACCCTGGACTCCTGGGCTCAAGCAATCCCTCTGCCTCAGCCTTCCGAGTAGCTGGGACTACAGGCCTGCACCACCATGCCCGGCTAATTTTTT